GGTCAAGCCCCTTCTCTGGAGCCCCCCCTTTCAGCACTAGCTGTACTTTGTCCATGAGAATGTATCTCCAAGAGTTGTTCTCAGTCTTGGTTCCCAGGAAGAACTAAGAACCAGAACCACTGGGGCCTTATACCCCCCGGGCTTAGAGCTCTGCAATTTGTTTTGTCTTTCTGCCTAGCGAAAGGCCATGGAAAACTACTGGGACAACTAGCTACTAATACAATAGGTGACAGAGTTACAAATGTATGTGTGAACAATACAGAGAACATATAAAAGAAAAAAGGCAAAACCCAAACAGCATCAGTATAGTCCATGATTCTGTGATCTCAGTAAAAATTTCAAGAAGCAGCATCTCAATAAAGGCAGAAATGAACAGCTGAGGTCTTAAAGAATCAAGTGTATTACAGGATTTCCCTGCAGAAAGTTAGTAGTGTTTACTCTGCATTCTGTGACTTGTCATGAAAAAAAATTGCGTTGGAGAATTATGCATTTAAAACAGAGATTTTAAAAATAGAGGTTTCACCGTAAAACAAGAGAGATTGTCAAAAGGACCAAAAGCACCAGCTCACCGAGGGAAGGCTGCGACAGCCAAACCAGCCAGCTGTTATCACACGACTTGATCTGCCGTGCCAGAACAGTACAGAAGCTGCGTTGCCGTTGCCTTGAGGACGACAGAGGAAAAGGCTTTACCGCCCTGAGCCTCTGGTGTCCCTCGGCAGGAGCTGCTCCCGGGAGCAGCCAGCCCGCACGCCGCCACGGCGCTCCCTGGCACACACACCCGAGCAGAGCGGGGGACCTGCCGGGGCTGTTACGAGCGGCGTGGCCATCTGCCCTGCCCTTCCGTCCGGGGCCCAGGGCTGCCCGGAGCAGGGCAGCACTGCCCTGTGCGACATGTCCCGGCAGGACCGGCCGATCCCTCCCCGTCGCTGAGAAGTTGCACCATCCCGGTGCAGCGCACCTCGCCGGCGGAAGGCGCAGCCGGCTGGGTCCAGGCCGCCGTCGGGGTACGCTGAAACTCTTCAGGGGCCCGGGAATACTCCTCCTCCGCCGCCTCGCTCTCGTAACCCGTCCGCACTCCCGCCCCGCGCTGTGCGTCCCACCCGCAATCCCGGCCCCGCAATCCCGGCCCCGCACTCCGGCTGCCGCTGCCGCCCCCGCCGCGCTGCCACGTCCCCGCCCGGCGGGGCCAATGGGCGGCGGCGCCAGGTGTGTGTTACCTGCACCACGTGGGCCGGGGGTGGGCAGGTGGTGCCGCGGCCCCGCGCAGAAAAGCTCGCAGCCATTGCGCTTTTCCCAGGGGTGCAGTTGGTGTGGGAGCAGCTACCACCCACCTCGGGGAAAAGGGGGTGGGAAAGAGGGGGAGCCGTGTGCCTCCCCCACGCTAGGTCCTCGGGGAGTGAGGCTACAGCTGGGGGTTCTGCCGCTTGGGTCTCGCTTGGAAGCGCCTGGGGCAAGGAAAGTTTCCGGCTTCTTCTTTTTCCCCGCTTCTTCCTTTCCTCTTTTTTATCCTCTGCTGGCCCGGTGGCACCATGACGGCGTCTCCCGACTACCTGGTGATTCTCTTCGTGACTACGGCGGGCACCAATGGGGCAAGGTTGGGCTCAGACGAGCGAGAGCTGCTCCAGCTCCTGTGGAAAGTGGTCGACCTGAGGAGTAAGGAGGTATTTTCACCCGACGGGGGAGCACCCCGACCTGCTGCTCCCCTTGGCGCCTGCCATGCTGGATGAGGGCAGGGTGGTCTCAGCGCTGGGCTGGTAATGGGTGTCCCAGGCTGGAGCAAGCTGTGGTGGAGGGCAGGGGCTGGTGCTGCTGGTGGGGACCTCCGGCACGGAGAGCTGACTTACTCCTTCCTCTGCTTTCTCTGGAGCTGGGGCACCTGCATGACGTGCTGGTCCGGCCTGACCACACAGAACTGACGGCTGAGTGCCAAGAGATCACCCAAGTGGATGCAGAGAGCCTGGCACTGGCTCCACCGCTGGAGCAGGCATTGAGACAGGTGACACCCCATAACTGGCTGCTAAGTGCTGGTCTCCTTTGGGAGCTCCCCCATGGGGTAGAGACGTTATCATCTGCTTATTCATGCTATCAGAGCAGTGGAGCCTGGTACAGGAGCACCGCAGATGTGTGTGTCAGGAAGCCTATATGTGTAGGGCTTTGTGGGCCTTTTTCTCTTGCCTTTTCTTTATTTGCCTTGGGAGGAACTGAACCCTAAGAGAGGAAGGTTAGAGTTAGCTATTTCCCTACCCTGCCGTGCTGGACCCTGAGTGAGTCTCAGCTGAGGGTGAGCCCTAATCAGTGTTGGAAGAAACCAGCTTTAGGTGTCCCCTGTTAAGGCTTGTGCTCATCGGTCCTGGGAAGGTGATGGTACTGAAGCCTCTAGATTAACAAGGAAGTATGTGTGATTCCCACTGAGGGGAGGGCTAAAAGCCTGTCTCCTTTCTGACATGCTGGAGTGCCTGTCTGAAAAGCTCTCCTGCCCCAGTACTGCCTCAGCTCTTTGCAATCAACTTTGTCTCATTGCAATGCTCTTGCAAATCTTGAAAAGAATTTTCTTCTGTGATGTGTGCTGTCTGTGTAGCCATATCTCATTAGAAGGGGGAAAAGGGGTGGTTTCCTTGTGAGGAGATTTATGGTGGAAGTTAGCATGTGCTTAGCTAGTAAGAAACAAATCTACAGAAGTGAAGGAGTAGGCTTATATGAAAAGAAATTCTAGCTCTATGTTCCTGCTGCCCAGGAATAACATGTTACTAACTGATGACTGCTTAGTGGAGCCACTCTGATATCTGTAACATGTATGTCTTTTCTTGTTCCTGCCAACAGTTTAATCAGTCCGTGAGCAATGAGCTGAACATTGGTGTAGGTACTTCTTTCTGTTTCTGTACTGATGGACAGTTGCACATTAGGCAGGTTCTGCACCCTGAAGCTTCCAAAAAGGTATGTAGTTGTAGCTTAAGTTTGACTCTTAATGTGCTGTTTATGATTTCTTGCAAAACAAATCCACTTCTCTCCAGTATGAGGGTGCCTTCACACAATCATAGCACAAACATTGCTCATACGTAATGTGCTTACCAGGCTAGAGCCTGTCTCTGTGGAAGGCATATACAGCGCCTTCTCCTTATGCGTTTTTGAGATGCCTTTTTAAGTTAAATCAAAAGGAGGATGGTCTTAAATGTTTGAGAAAGGAGCAACGTATTGACAGTACTTGTAGCTTCTATAGGGCTAACAGGTAGGATTTGGGATTGTTGCTAAATAATTAACCATTTTAACTGTAAACTGTTTTTTGAAATTTTACATTTATGCCTAGTTATAGCAACTTTCAGTCTTTGGGTATTCAGTTGACACTCCAAGGGTACTGTTTGTATTTGTAAGGAGGCGAGCAGTAGTTTGAGGCAGGCTATGAGTGATGTAGTCTGGAGTTTTCCATAACTTCAGAGTTGCCAAATCACTAACAGTGTTATGAAGTCCTGCCTGCTTTTCGTTAGTGATAGGGTTGCAGCAATATGTGAGTCTCTCTGGTTCTGAAATAACTGCCTCAATATTAATAACACCTCATTTTGTGGTTTGGTATGAACATGCACTGCTCTGTAACTGAGCTGTTCTATTCCTCTCGTTGTACCTGACTTCTGTTTCCCCTCAATTTGCTGCCTCATCTTTGAAGGGACACTGCCGCAAGTCTGTGCTGTTACAAAAGTGATACTGATTGAGCTTGGCTGTAATACTTGTTTGTGCTTTAAGTATTGATAGCTTTGAAGGCTTAGAAGAGAAACTGAGCATTATTCACAGTGAAGGGACACTTCTTATATATGTAGCTTGTATTCTATGACATATAACATGAGAAAATGTGGAAACAGGTTTTTAAAATACTTTCTTCTTGGCTAATAAAGTAAAGCTTCTCATCCATTTAAATTATGTGGATAAAAGAAGGGACACATCCTAAAATTATTTAAGTTGGTTTGATGTCAGGGATCCTTTTTCTGTATCACCACAGGAATCAAATCTTCATCAAAATCTTCTGTTGCTGTTTTGTTAAGAATTGTTCATTTGAAATTTGCTCTATGCTGCCTGATTAAGTAAACTAAGTGCTTATGAGACTTATAATAGTTTTTTGATGACTATCCTAATGCGGGGATTGGAGTGTGGGATCAATAAAATCCAGATAGGCAGAAATCTCTAGGCTCTTGAGAAGGTATTTATTTCTAAGATATCCATTCTGAAGCCATCTAGCAACTCCTGGTATTCAGAGAATTAACTGACATCAGCCATTCCAAAAGTATATAAATGAAGTACAGAACTTCATTTCACATCAAGGAAGAAAATTATGCTAAAACTAGAGCAGGAACTGTTGGTAAGCCCATCTACATTTTCATAACTCTTTAAAGAATATCGTTTGCCTAATACACCTGTCCATATGCTAAGATAAGTTCTAATGTTCTCAAAGCAGAATTTGTTTTAGAGCCTAAACTGCTTTATTTGGGCTCCCTAAATGTGCTTTCACATAGGCTGTTATCTGTTATAATGCCAACATGCTAACTAGTTGTTAAATCCCAGAAAGCCTTTATGTGTAGTCTAGAAAGGCCTTGCAGACAACAAACAGCCAAAAGGAATATTTAGTATTCTGTCTGGGGTGAAGAGCTAACTGAAGGAGTAAGGGTTTGCATCAGTTTCAACAGCTTCCCCCAAGACTTCTCCATGTCTTCTTTCCGCTCCCCCCAAAAATTGGAAGCATATGGTAGATATAGTGGTGGGGCAAGAAGGGTTTCATTGACTTCCAGTGGGCTCTGTAACTTGCTTCTGGCTTTGCCTGCTCCAGTTAAAGCAGGCTGACAACCTCTGCACCGTGTCAAACCCTCTTCTGCACAGTCAGATTTTTTACTTGTTGGAAATAAATATATTTGAAGTGTTACTATTCTCTGAAAACAGCCTTTCCTATAAACTAAAATATCTGCTAGTCTTGCAAAATTTGCTTAATTCTATAAACTGAACTGTCTACCCTCTGGCTTTATACAGTTAAAATTGCAATCAAGAATTGATGATAAATGTTGCAATAAGAGGCATTTGCTCTTCTACATATATTAGATTTGAAGCTCTAGTAATAAAGGCAAATGTTTTTCTGGCAGTGCAAAAGCACATTTCTCTTATTAAACAATATAAAGAGAAAGCTGTTTAAGCAAAAAAAGTTTATGAATGTACTTACCTGGCTAAGCAGAGCTAAGTGAGCTTTCTCTGTAGCAAAAACTGTTTGTGTTTCCTATCTATTCTAAAGATATTGTTAGAAAGTTTGGTGTCTAGACACAAAGTAGGTAAAACTCGCCCTAACTGACAGTAGTTACTTTGTTCCTTTTACAGAATATTTTACTGCCTGAATGCTTCTACTCATTTTTTGACTTGCGGAAAGAGTTCAAGAAGTGTTGCCCTGGTTCCCCTGAAGTTAGCAAACTCGATGTTGCAGCCATGACAGAATGTATCCTTTTGACAGTGATGGTTTCTCTGCTGCTGTTACAGTCTTGCCTGAATTTTAGGACAGAGGTGCATGAGTAATGCTTGCAACACGTTTATGGGTGGTATAACTTTAATGAGTGACTCGGAGCTGTACTGAGTTTTCTCACAAAGATAAAGATAAAAGCACATGAGGATGAATGCTTCCATGGAGAAAATCCTGTATTTCTTCTTGACTTTTGTTTTCTTTACCATCTTTATAGTTGTCTCTCTTTAAATTTCGCAGTTTAATGTAACTAGCACATTTTTTTTCAAATTGCTGTTGTGAATGTTAAAGTTTGGGGTTGAGTTTCATAGCATCAGTTAGATTTTTTTTTTTTTTTTTTTTTTTTTTTTTTTTTTTTTGGCAAGAGCAAATGGCAGAAGACCACCTTAATTTTCAGGAGCAGGGATGGTTATTCTTGATGTGACCTTGCAGTGAATCTCTAACACATGAATGAACTTAAGGCAGGGATGCTGTTGGAACATGTGGTATTTAGTCTCCTAGAAAGTGCATATGCTACACCTCACAGGGTGAGGCTTGGCTGGCACCAAGGTGCACAGTCAGTAGTATGTTTCCATTTTCAGTGATAGGGATATCTAAAGTTACTTTTTGGATAGTCTGAAGTGGTCTGTAACTCCATCCGGTCTGGCTCTTTCCTAGTCGGAGCTTGAGAGCTGAAGCTGTGATTTGGCTGTGCCTTCCTCCCTTGCTTCCCTGGCAGTCTCCCCTCTTGCTGCCAGCTTCAGTCCTTATCCCAAAAATGTTCTTGGACAGAGAGCTACTGAGCTATTGAAGTTGTGGTCACAAAAGTCAGATATCAAGGAGGAATAGAGGAATTTGAGATGCTTGTATTTGTTATTGGTGGTTGATGTTGCTGCTATTGTTTTTAATAACTTTTCCTCTGACTTCCTTATTGTGTCCATGGTTGCCATTAAGAGGTGATGTCTGTCATCAGAGATGTCTGTGGCTTCAGAGATTTTTGAGCTTTCACTGCAGGACTAGTATTGCTTGGGCTTTGTACTTGTTGGGGGCATAAAATACACATATGGGATGGATTTTTGTGTTTAACTATTCTGCTCTGCTTTGTTATCTGCAAATTAAGATTGATGTCTGCTAGTGAAGAGGGCAAAAGTTATTTCTTCCTATATTTTGAAGGAAAGCAGTACACTTAGAGTAGGATTCAGAATCTTTATGTAGAAAAGTGAAATAAATGCTGTGGTGCATAGAAATAGGGTGATGGAGACTTCTTAAAGTTATGGTCAAAAACGTAATACATTGCTTAGGGAATGCTTTGACATGATCTGGAGAAATTAAAGGCAATGAGCTACTTCAGCTGTTTCAGAGACTTGACCTTCTTTTCTCCTTATATGAATATCTGGGGTATGCCTTTCCACTGTGGAAGGAGTTGTATGACTGTAGCTATCTGGAGTGTCACTGGTCAGCTAAGGCATGGTGATGGACTGTGTATTCCCTGTGTGCTAGGAGAGGGGAGCAGATCACCCTGTGTTACCTGACTGTCAGGAAGTCCCTAAAAAGTCAGTGCTACCTGAGAGTAGTTTTGGCAGTTGCCAATAATATTTTCTCTAAGTTCCTAGAAGCTTAGTTTGTCTATCCAAATCCACTCAGCTTGAGTCCAAGTTCTGGACAAGATATGCTTCTTAAGGTGTATAAACTTAACTTCATTCTGGTCTTATATTTATTTTTGTGGCTTATCTTGTTTTGTAATTTCTGAGGCTCTGATTTGTAAGTTTGCTATGTTTATGCAACAAGGCTGAATTCAACTGTCTCTCCCCTATTATTGTGTGAGAATGTGGGAGCAGAGGATGCAGAGACAAAAAAGGGCAAAACAATTTTTTTTTCCTTTTATTGACCAATATGATAATTATTTGTCCTCACCTTGCTGAAATGTATCCACTTAATCTCCTCAGTGTCAGAACATGTACAGGTAAATTGCACCTGTAGACCATGGACATGTATATGGTGTTTAGATTG